CTAACATAGTAGCAGTGACAGTGTCGCATGTCCTAACAACAACTGCCTGCGACTAGTGTTCGAGTGGCCGACAGGGCTGAATACGGGTCAATACAAACAAAACTCTAACACTAACATGACCCCGAAACTAACGTTCATCCATTGCACTAATAGTTATAATGTAGTTGTACCACAGACAAACAGACATAACACTCGCAAGTTGTTCATCGAACAAGCATTTAACGGTCAATTCAAAAGTATCGTAGTTGGTAGTACCACCACCTGTGGCGCGCATAGTCATTTCCCTTGAGTTTGACGTTTACACACTACCGCCATCTGTTCAGCGTACTACTCACCACAGTGTACTCAACAGATGGCGGTAATGTTTTAACGACGATGTTTTACAGTGAGAAATATTCAATGTGTTATGTCTGTTTGTCTGTGGTTGTACTTTCCTAATAACCCATCTATCACAGACAAACAGACATAACACTCGGTTGGACAGGTTGTTCATCGAATACGCATTTGACGGTCAATTCGGGTGTTTTTGGTTGGTGGTGCCGCCATCTGTGGCGCGCACGGTCGGTTCCCTTGCGTTTGACGTCTGCACACTAGCGCCATCTGTTCAGCGTACTATCCATCACATGATACTCAACAGATGGCGGTAGTGTTTTAGTGACTGTTTGTCTGTGCATCTATGTTTCTTTTTCGTTGTGTGTGTTTGGGGGGGGGGGGTTAATGTAACCAATACTAATACCTTTCTTTCTGTTCTTTTATTTGTTTTCTATATCCCTTCACCATCACCCCATATCTCATCATTTTGACGAGAGATGACTTACTTGCATGGTGCATGCCCAAGTCGTACTACAGGATAATATCACAGACAAACAGACGTAACTCTTTGAAAAACTTGTTCTTGAAAACATAGTATCTCAAAACCTATAACCTCAGTAACGACATCTATCTGGCTTCTCGCGGAAAACAAGCTTGCTCGCTAACTCGTAAACAATATTGCATTAAATTTCTATAGAATATATAGAAACGTCAAAGTGATCCGATGCCAGCGCTGCGGCGAGTAGTTCGTGGAACTGATAATATTCAAATCAACCGTTAAATGCATGAACGAAGATACACAATGAAGAGTTACGTCTGTTTGTCTGTGATAATATGCTGAGCGTGATTCTATCACAGATCGATAGAACTGAGGAATAATGAGGTAAATTCTACACAGTATTTTAAAAGAACCAACTCTAAGCAGGTAATAATAGCAATTAATAATCAAACAACCATAAAAAGGTAAGAATTAATTTATTTATTTTAAATACAGTAATGACCCGATTTTGTTCTTTCAATAATTTCACATAATCATAAATCTAAATTTTTCTCATTCGTCATTCGTTAAGAGGTATATTTAAAGTATACTTTGGTGCAATAGGTTCAAGAAGATTACTGAAAAAGGGCATGGGTTTTGTAGAACATTGGAAAACATTTTCAAAAAAGGGGGTTGACAAAATCGGGACATTACTGTATTCCATTTACATTTACATGATTTATCACATATTTCCGGAGAGCTTCGAGGTTGGAGCGTAGTTGCTTTTGTAGATGGGCACGTCATTTGTCGGTTTCTCGCGGATTGGGGCTCAGTCTGGAAAAACTAATAACACAAACAGGTAGAAGAATAGTTCCTCTATGATTTGTTATAGTTTGTTTGCAGGATTGTTCTTTTGTTCGCGGGAGGCCGACGATTGACGTGTTTGTTTGCAGGGGCGATTGCGCCCGGATCTCGGGGTTCTCCGGATTTATGGTCGTAATCTAATACACACAGTTGAACACAATACAAGCCTAAAAGCTGCAGTGACCTAGTGAGCACCATAGCTCGAGTCGTCTGAAAGTATTGTGTATCGCATGGAGAGCCCAACCGAGATTCTAGCCTATTAAGGTGATACTCTAAGGAAGCCTTAGCGTGAAACTTCAAAGGCACAAATGTCAGCTTCCACAAAACATACAAATTTGAAATTGCTACTCTCTGTTTGTAGTAGCACAGCAAACAAGGAGTAGCAATTTCAAATTTGTATGTTTTGTGGAAGCTGACATTTGTGCCTTTAAAGTTTCACGCTAAGGCTTCCTTAGAGTATCACCTTAAGACTGCAGTTTGAGATTTTTTCTTCTAGAATCACGAGAAAAGTAGCCAACATTTATGCGTTTCATAAAAAAATAGAAATAAGTTGGCCCAGTTTTGTGAAATCGCTGGTAGAAAGTCACACCAAAACTGCTTGACAAACTGATCAATTTTTGTGATTTACAGTTCGAAAACTGTAAAAAAAATTATGCGTAATTAATGTGTATATTACATGTAATAAGCCATAGTCTGTACGGGGTATTAGACATTTATTACGATTTTTAAATCAAGATTTAAATTTTTGATCGTTGACACTAAATCTATTCGTTGACGCAGATTTAGTCATTTTCCCTAAAAAATTTGGAATAGAGATAGAATGTACATTATCTAACTAGTTTCGTCAAATTTAAGATTGAATTGCCGATATCACACCTTATGTCAGTGCCTTTATATAAACGTACTCTACACAGAAAAAAAAGTTGTTGAATATTACATCCAAACAGCTGCACAGAGGTCATTCCGCCGGTTATGTAATATTACGTTGTAAAGGGTGATACGGTCAAAATTTGGTCAAGGGAAAACGCGTGTAAATCGGTGAAATCGTTTATTTAAAAAATCAAATTAAATTTCTTTTTCAAGTTCAATTAGTATAAAATTCAGGAAAAATATTCAGTTAGGCTTCCGCTTTTCCAAATCCGAATTGCCGGGCCTTACGCTTGACCCCTGCCATCAGATTTTGTACAGCCACCTTGTCCACCTTCTTCGCCGCAGAAAGCCAGTTTGCCTTGAACTGCTGCTCGCCCTTAGCAGTTTTTTTGGTCTTCTTCAGGTTCCGCTTGACAATAGCCCAGTATTTCTCAATTGGGCGGAGCTCTGGCGTGTTGGGAGGGTTCTTGTCCTTGGGAACCACCTGCACGTTGTTGGCGGCGTACCACTCCATGGCCTTTTTACCGTAATGGCAAGATGCCAAATCCGGCCAAAACAGTACGGAACAACCGTGTTTCTTCAGGAAAGGCAGCAGACGTTTATTCAAACACTCTTTCACGTAAATTTCTTGGTTGACAGTCCCGGAAGCTATGAAAATGCTGGTTTTCAAGCCACAGGTACAGATGGCTTGCCAAACCAGATATTTCTTTGCGAACTTTGACAGTTTCATGTGCTTGAAAACATCTGCTACCTTTCCCTTTCCTTTTGCCGTATAAAACTCCTGTCCCGGAAGCTGCTTGTAGTCGGCTTTGACGTAGGTTTCGTCGTCCATTACCACGCAGTCAAACCAACAATCAATACGAAACTAACGATTTTAAATTGGCTCACCACTTTAGTAGCCTATTGGTCCCAAGCAAACGATTAACGTACCCTATTCTAGTTGAAATTCTATTACTACACTATGTTTGTTTTGATTCGCTATGAAAGTTTGACAGATAACATCAGGGGTGTGTGGATTCATGCAGAACATGGGACTGCTTGGGACCGTTGTTCTGGTACTGAGTGAGCCAAAAATAATAATGATTTTCTTCGGGACCCAGTGGTCTTAGAGTTACCTCTATGGTCAAACTTCGTCAGCATCGTCGTGTACAGCCTCCGGGATCGCGCTTTGGCCGTCGTATTTTGTTTATCATCGCGATTTGGAGTCACTACCTTCTTGTAAGTCGATAGTCCGGCTCGTTTTTTGGCTCGATGCACGGTTGTAGACGATACACCCAGCTTATTTGCGGCATCTCGGAGAGAGAGGTTAGGGTTTCGCTTGAAACTACCGGCAACTCTCTTTGTCGTCTCAGCGGCTTCCGGTTTTCGATTTCCCCCCGATCCAGACTTCCTGGCTGTCGACAAACGTTCCCCAAACACTTTAATTACATTTGTAACGGTTGATTTGGCAACTTTTAGCGATTTTGCCAACTTTGCGTGCGAGTAGCTCGGATTTTCGCGATGCGCGAGCAAAATTTTGATACGCTGCTCTTCTTGCTTGGACGGCATTTTGACAACTGAAGAGTGAATTCCAAAATCAAAATAGGAGCAACATTCTACACACACACACCTTCAAATGAGGGGTGTTCAGGTTTTTTAAATGCAAAATTGAAAGAAATACGTCAAGTTGATATTGACCAAATTTTGACCGTATCACCCTTTAGGATGTATATTGATTTTGCGAACAAAATTACATCTATTGATGTAATATTGTATCTGCTTTTTGCTATTACATAATTATTTCATACATCAGCTTGAATTACGTTGATCGATATTACATTTTTTTGCTGTGTACGACGTGTTTAGATGTAATATTCAACAACTTTTTTTTTTCTGTGTAGGAAATGGATGAGAAGAATATAAGATACCATCACGTCGGGCTTGACTTCGGGCCACTGTCTTGGTCTCTCGTGCAGGCCTGCAGCATGGCGTTAAGCTCTCCCATCTTCGACAAGGTGCTTAAGAATAGCCTACGGGAGGGCCAAACCATTTGTGGAATAGTTCTATCATTAAGGTTATCGTTCGGGTATGGTATTTTTTTATTACACAGCAAAAAAAGTTGTTGAATATTACATCGAAACTGCTGCAACCAGGTCAATCCATCGGTTGTGTAATATCACATTGTACGATGTACATCGATTTTGCGAACAAAATTACATCCATTGATGTAATATTGTATCTGCTTTTTGCTTTTACATCATTATTTCATACATCAGGTTGAATTACGTTGATCGATATTACATTTTTTTTGCTGTGTATGAGTAATCTAAAATATGGTTGTTTTTCAATATTTTTCTCTCCGTGTACCGATATTTGACAAAAATAGTTCTGGCAACTCTTGTGTGTTCTGACACCAGAAATTTGCCGCAGGGGTCAGTTTTGACATATTTTGAATAGTGGTGGTGCAGCACATTATTCCAAAGCAAAACAAAAACATTTTACATAATTTTGTAAAACTTCGTCGGCATTCGAACATATTTGCCATAAATTAAGAATAATCAATTGTAAAAAATCTTCAAAACATGTCGACCATAAAGTACATCGGTCGCACAACCGATTTTAAAGGTAAAACCCTGTGGGAAATCGTAGGCAATCTGAAAAATTTCGGTGTTGGTCGAGTGGTCGTCCGGAACATGTTCGAGCGCTACCCAGAACCCAGCTACATGAAAATCGTTAAAGTCGAAACCCTACCGAATGAGGTAAGTAATAAATGCTCATGGGCTTCAGAAAATTGTTTCAAATGTGTTGATTATTTTTTTAGGAAACACGTAAGGTCAAAGTAACGGTGGAGAAAACATTCCGCGGCCAAACGTACCCCAAATTGGTTGAAATCAACAGCGTTTCCTACAAGGCCGACTATCGGTTGCTTCACAAGCACGAGGAGGCATCCTACTGCAGGGCGGTGCAGCGGGCGGAGAAAATTATTCCGCGGGAAATCGATATGCCTCCACTATTGAAGGAATTTGTTCAAAGAGAAACGGGAAAAAGCGACCCGAAGATTGCGATCAAACTGAAACCGGGTCATAACAATGTCTACCGATTGGCGAAGGAGGGCGAGAAACCCACCATTGAAGTTGGTATGGGCATCGGAAAGCCAGCTAGTCCTAAGCTGTATGCGAATTGCGAAATGTAATTGTTTGGATGAATTAATATAGATTATTAACTAGAAAGAAAGCATGATTATTCTGAAAGAAGGAACTTTCTTTCCATTTAAAATTCTTCTGATAATAATTCGATGATTTAATTAAATAACAATTTACAACCGCGTTAATCATCTCTCCAGGTAACTTCAACCTCATCGGTTCTGTACCTCTGTGTGATGGTGGCTTCTTCCCAGCTCATTCGGGTCCCACTGCGGAACATCTCCCATCCAGCATGAGCAATCATTACTCCGTTGTCGATGCAAAATCTTTCATCCGTGGCAAACAGCTTTGCTCCCCGCTCCTCACACATTATACCCATCATTTCCTGAAGACGCTCGTTGCAGCCTACTCCTCCCACGATCAGTACCTCACTGGAACCGCAATGAGCCATCGCTCGTTCAGTTGTTTCGATCAGCATAGCAAAAAGAGTCTCCTGCAGTGAGAAGCATAAATCCTCATCGGACCACTTTTCTTCTTCCACTCCACTGACTCGCTTCTGCTTTTTCTGTTTTCCCTTCGGTCTAGCCTTTTGTTCGATAAAGGACAAAATTCCTGAAAAACTAACATCCATGCCCTTAACCGAATATGGAAGCGGAACATATTTGGTGCCCTTTTTGGCCATCTGCTCGATGTTATAGCCGGGACTTGGATCGTTGGACAGTTTTATGATTCGAGCAAACCGGTCCAAGCAATTCCCGATGGCGATATCGATCGTTTCCCCGAAAATCCTGTACCTTTTGCAAGCGTACGATATGACCTGGGTGTTTCCACCGCTTACGTACAGGACGGTTGGGTTTTCCGCTTTGGTAATCAACCGACCCATTTCAATGTGACCGATGCAGTGGTTCACTCCCATGATCGGTTTGTTCCATATCTGAGCAATGGTTCGAGCGACGATTGCCACCGCCAGTAGTGGAGGTGCCATTCCCGGTCCCTTGGTATAGCAGACGACATCAATCTCCTGAGGCTTTACGCCAGAAACGGCAAGGGCACGCTTCAGAATGTCGTGAATTTTCGATCGGTGATGTTGCGCTGTTTCCTTCGGAAGGAATCCTAAGATAATGGAAGACATATTCCGTTAAGCTACGGACACAGTTAATCAAAATATTTATTATTCACCTTTATTCTTGTTTTCGTTCGAGCTGTATTTTCCGTACAAAAAAAAAACTTTTTTTGTAAGGAAAATACGGTTCGAACGAAAACGAGAATATGGATGATTGTCTTATCTTACCTTCTCCCGGTGGGGTGATGTAGGTTTCTCGTTCGTTAGCGAGCACCTCACCGTCGCGCACTATTCCAACACCGATTTTGTTGGCGCTTCCTTCAAATCCGATCGCGATTACCATGGTTGGTTAGTTTTGCATTAATAATTTAATTATTATTCTTTATTTGCGGAAATCTCGCTAATCACAACAACTTCAAAATAAACTAAAGCTCACACGCTATTTCAAAACTACCTAAATTTGAGAAGAATCCACCCACATCGGTCAAAACTGAACCTACCAAAAAATGGGTAAACTGTGTTGGGAGTGACAAGTTGAAAAAATGAACAACGTCGATCGGATTCATGTCGATGTTCTTCATTTGTCAACCTGCTTCAAACACAGCACAGCTTACCAATTTTTGGTAAGTTTTGACCAATCGGGTGTATTCTACACAAATTTGGGTAGTTTTGAAATAGCGTGAATACAGTAAAAGTGGGACGTCTGTGAAAAGCAGCCCAGTGGCAGGCGCGTAGGCAACATGTTATACCATGACAGCGGGCCCAGCACAGCAAAATAAACGATTTGAGCCCGGGACATGCTGCCTACTGTCAAACGCTGCTGTTGGTATAGGCCTTGTCACTGGCCTGGTGAAAAGCGTCAAAAGTTGTTCCATATCGAACCGTCAAAATGCACCGCTCCCACATACCGCGGGCGTGTCGCCAGAAGCGCGCCCAAAGACCACCCGGCGGACTTGGGCGGAGCGCCCCGCGGTGTTATTTGGTCGCCCTTTGCGCGCCTTCGCGGTGCCGTCTCCTGACAAAGTTTGTTCCGAATTTGCTGATCGCTTGCTTTTCACATCGTGGCGCCAAACATGAATCGATCTGTTTACCACAAACGCGTGGCCCGGCTAAAAGTAAACGGCTACTGGAGGTTGTTTGCTTCAGCTCGGATTAGCCTCCCTGCACACTATTTTTATTTCGCTGGAAACCAGTAAAACTTTGCTGGATTTTGCCGGGCTGGAAGTCCAGCAATCTTTCCAGAAAAAAAATATTGCTGGATAACCAGCAAAATAATCTGACATAAAAACGACAGCACTTTACCGTAGAACCAGCCAAATTTGCTGGGTTTTCAGTAATAGAGAAGAGGAATTTATTTTGCTGTATGATCAGTAAAACTAGTAAAGTATTATTTTGGGAGAAAATCAAAGATTTTATGTGATTCAAACTTAATTTATTCCACATTTAGCATCATAACTGTAGCGATAATTTCAGCGAAAACGAAGAAATACTATCAAAAACGATGAATGTAAACGCCGACCATCATCCACTTCCTCCTGCAAATAAATAAAAAGGAAGTCACAGTACAGACCCACTGTTATAACAGATATTTGTATGCAAATTTACCTTTAATAATGATATAAAATCACATTGAAAACTAATATAAAACAATCACAATAAATCAACTTGCGATCAGGCATCCAATAAAGAATCCACTTACGAAATTGCAATCTATATTTGACAGTTCCCGCATTTTACTGATCATCCAGCAAAAAAACATGTTTGCTGGATTCACAGAAAATCCTAATTTGGCTGGACTCTGTTCAGCAATTCGTTTTGCTGGCAGGCTGATTCAAAATTTGGTGTGTGTTTGAATGATCTGCAAAGTGTTTGCTTAGAGTCGTGTTAATTAACTGTGATATCGACATCAAAGCAGCTAGACATTCTTGATCGGGATTTAATTCGAGGATAATACCGGCTGAGCACACCGCAAAAAAAAACACACCAAAATTGCTACGATCAGTTGTTCATCAGCCCAATGTCAAATGACGTCACTTTTTCACCGGCAATAGTGACAACATCGCTTATTGCGACTCTCCTGTAGCAAAATTGGCAGGGTTTATTATAGTCGCTATAGTCGGCTGGCCGATAGAATCTCCACATCCCTGGCAAGACTAGTACCATAGAGGTAACTCTAAGACTAGAAGGTCCCGAAAAAACGTGCTCAACTTTTTGGCTCAGCTCTGGTACCCTCTTCGATCCCAAGCTAATCGATTCACCCCTCGAAACAGGAAAAACCAATAACCCCTCATTTTATCTGTCAAACTTTCATAGCGAATCTAAACAAACATTGCGTAGTACTAGAATTTCGACTAGAATGGGGTACGTTAGTCGTTTGCTTGGGATCAATAGGCTAGTCAATTAGTGAGCCAATTTAAAATCGTTATTTTTTTTTCCTTGGTTTGTTTTTTCCGTCAATCTTGTTTTCCGTGCTGAGCACCAACGCTACCGACGTGCCAGGAAGGCAGCTCCCACACTTGGACCCTACCTATCGACCCATCAACTCATGAACCGGGGACCAACGGCTTTACTTCCCATCCGAAGGAAGGCGTGATCAGAGATGTTATGCCTCAGAACATCCCGGCGGAGCCGACTGGGATTGAACCCAGGCCTGCTGGGGTGACAGGTAATCACGCTTACCACTACACCACCGGCGCCGTTAATTTAAAATCGTTAGTTTCGTGTTGATTGCTGCTAGTACTCGCTGAAGGCGTAACGAATTTGGTGGTGTTAGTGTTGACAACACGTTTTTAAGCTACAGTCATGTGTGCCGCATGGTTATGTTGCGTTAAAAGTTTTTACTGGTGTAGTAATGCTGCTATCACATCCAATTTTAATGCACTTCATTTTTAGGCAATGATAATTCGTGTTCAACGCAGTAAACAGCGCCTATGGCACAACAAAGATTAAAGAATCCTTCCCCGCTGCTCGCGACTAACTTTTCTTACAACGTATCACGCATGAACCCGGGCTTGCTTGCAAATATTTGCAACAGCTGTCAAATGTTGACGTAAAATCGAACCAGAGAACCAGGATTTTTCGGCTTCACACAAAGTATATGGGAATGACATTTGAGTCATTGATGTGAGAATCTCGGGAACCAACTGGGTTGTTTAACTTCGAAAAATATACCAATTTTTATTCATCATCTGATAGAGCTTTGTTTTCTGAGCACAGCGATATTTGTGTCGATCCCGTAGACATTCATCTCGATTTTTAAATCAAGATTTAAATTTTTGATCGTTGACACTAAATCTATTCGTTGACAGCTCACTCCCATTGAGTTCTCCAAGCAGGATCTCACGAACACTACACTAATAATATAATTTTACACACACTAGCGTACACAGCAAAAAAAAAATGTAATATCGATCAACGTTATTCAAGCTGATGTATGAAATAATGATGTAATAGCAAAAAGCAGATACAATATTACATCAATAAATGCAATTTTGTTCGCAAAATCGATGTACATCGTACAACGTAATATTACCAATATTACACAACCGGCGGAATGACCTCTGTGCAGCTGTTTGGATGTAATATTCAAGAACTTTTTTTCTGTGTATACTGTCATGTGCACGGTAAGAATCCAACATCCATTTTGAGTAAAAGTGAACCCATATAAAAGTGGCACTACTAATTAATGAGTAATTTATTATGCCAATTAAGTAGTAACTGTTAGGCCGTTCGCAATGCTGTTGTATTTTATAAGGACTGTTTCAATTTGAAACTAGAACAGAAACGCACCTCTCGCAATGCTGAGTTGCAGTTTCATTATTCGAGCACTATTTTGCACCAGATTTGCAACTGCTCGACTATTCTGTTTTATTTCTGAGCGAGTTTGAAACACGAATGGAACTCTGTTTCAAATTTCTTTGGATGTGTTGAAGATGTTTCGAAGAGCTCCACAAATAAAAAACGGAGAACTTCATAGAGAACAGTAAAGTTTATGGAACTTGATGATTACAAACATGTTTTTGAACTGT